AAAACACGATTTTTGGTTAAATTTTGGCACATTTCTTCGGTGAACAAAGAAAACAAGACGTTAACACAAAACTTACTTCTTCCAGTGAAGCTTTCTGCAGCAAAATTAGAAACACATTGAGTTAATGTCAATATAAGCAAAATTTCGAAATGGCTAAAAAATTGCTCACCCGATATTGATGGGATGTTTGTCGATATCGATGTTGTCAGGGGTATATTTTTTGATATACTCCACATAATTCTGTTGTACATGTTCAGGACTAATATTGTCTTCGATGTGACGTGGTGGCAACATATTTTCGGCATTTGTTGCCATTTTATTCGAGTCTATTCTCTCATCTCTCGTGACATCAATTGGTAGCGAATCATCTCCAAGACTCTTCATTTCATCRGCCGTCAAATATCTATAAGTTTGGTCACCCAAAACGGTATCCTCTCCTGGAAACAAACCTTCAGTCATWTCTAAAATCGCAAAACATGACCGGTTTTCTGTGTTAGGTACTTCAACAAAGTAAACGGAAGAAAAGTCAGCGTGTCAGCTTGCAAATAAACCCAACTTTGAATATAACAATGAATTGTGTTGTGTGTAACAATAGTGGTCTAGACTTACTGGTGAGCAAAGTAGTACCATTGAAATAGGGTAGGTACACGTGTCGTTGATGCGGGGCCGTACCGAATCCGTCCAAAATATTCTCCCCTGCTTTTGCGATTAAACAACTTGTTAAATTTCAATGACAGTGTTAAGCAAAGCGATTTATCAAAAGCTCTCGAAGGGARTTTTTCAAACTCAGTTGCGGGTGTTTTCTATGGACCACTAGTTCTCTCTAGTCTAAATTTTGGATTTTGGCGTAGATCGAATCAAAAAATGACTTTTGTATGATTATGGGTATGAAAACATGATGAGTGTGATGACTAATGTCATGCACTAACTCTGAATAAGCATAAGAGCGAAGCGCATGCCTATAGTAGAATTTTGGGAAAACAACTAAACTGCGAATTGAATGAGTATGGATCTAAATCTCTCACAATTCTAAATCTCAATTTTTTAAGAGATAGCAAACACCGCACACGTCACATAAATGCTAAACACTAGTAACTCACCACCTTCTTCCTCCGAATCTGACATAAAAGTCTCATGCATCGCTTCCGGCGCGACCACACGGTACTTTTCTTCGTTGGAAATGGTTGAAGCACTCARAGGTGACGAGGGTTGAGTCACTACTTTCAAAGTGTCYATCACGGTAATGTAGCCCAATTTTTCGGCAATATGCAAGGGCGTTTGTCCATTCTACAAAACAATTCACAATTGAACCACAACAAAAATAAACACTTACGTTTGTCATAGCGTTAGGTTGCGCCGAATTTTCCAACAAAGTGTTGACAATATTGGTATGACCTTGCTGGGCGGCTTGATGCAAAGGTGTGTAACCCAAAGCGGTGTTAGCCTTGACATTGGCACCATGTGAGAGCAAAAATCGAACCATATTAATTTGTCCATAGTGACACGCAATGTGCAAAGGCGTGTAACCATTTTTCGTAGCAGCATCAACTTCTCCTCCATTCTTTACTAGAATTTCCGCCACCGGAACTTTATCTTCCTGAGCACAAAGATGTAGAGGAGTTAACCCATTCCTCGCTCTATGATTCGTATCTGCCTTATGTTCAATAAGTAGATCTGTCATATCGCAATGACCTTCCTGAGCACTCAAATGCAATGGCGTGAACCCTGCCTTACTTTCCGCGTTGGGTTTAGCCCCATACTCCAGTAACGTATTTGCTATATCCATTTGGTTCTTTTTCGCTGCTATATGCAAAGGAGTGTGTCCATTTTTAGCAGTCGCATAAGGCGACGCCCCTTTTTCTAGTAACAACAACGCGACATTTTGGTGGTCGTAATGCGACGCGACATGGAGAGGAGTCACCCCGTTTTTGCCTTGGGCATCAACTGGGGCTTCTTTCTGAAGTAGGAGCTTCGCTACTTTCAAATGCCCATATTTAGCAGCTAGATGCAAAGGCGTGAAGCCCTTTTTGGTAGTGGCGTTGAGGGAGGCTCCGTGGTCTATCAAGGAGGCAGCCACTTCGTCTTGACCTTCTTTAGCCGCGATGTGGAGGGCTGTGTACATGTCTTTGGTGGTGTTGTCGACTTTGGCTCCGTGTTGGAGCAGGAGCATGACGATGTCAACGTTTCCAAGACGGGAGGCTATGTGAAGAGGGGTTTGTTGTTCACGGGCACGGGCGTCCACTTGCGCGCCGTTTCGGAGGAGGATCCTAATAATGTCGGTCTGAAAAAATAAGTTTTTTTTTAAAAATCTATTAAAATTATTATTTTTTTCAATTTACTTGATTTGCACGGGCGGCTAAATGTAGAGGAGTTTCTCCTCGTACTGTTGGTACGTCTGGACTAGCATCATGCTGGAGCAAGTAGATAACAATGTTCATGCATCCCATAAAACTGGCAACATGAAGAGGTGTTAACCCGCTTTCCGTGGTGGCACCAATACCTAATGGTCAAAGTTTGATTTTGTGTAAAAAAAAAACCTACAATAACTCACTTGCACCATGTTTGAGTAACAACTCAACAACTTTGATTCTATTCTTCTTGCAGGCAATGTGTAGTGGCGTGAATCCATTGAGAGCTCTAGCGTTAGCATCAGCTTGTCTATCCAATAGCAACTTGGCGACTCTCACATGTCCACAATGTGCAGCCACGTGAAGAGCCGTCAAGTAGTCGACAGTAACTTCGTCTACAGGTGCTCTGTGATAGAGTAGTATCCTCGCTGCATCTACATGATCCCCTTGAGCGGCCATATGAAGAGGTGCTAACCCATTCTAAAACTCACCTTGCAGAAAAGTCTTAAAACTCGATCAATACTCACTTTAGTTTTAGAACTGATAGGAGCTCCCTTCTCTAGAAGCATATCCACCACTTGTTCGTGGCCACTTCTCGCCGCACAATGCAAAGGAGTGAGTCCATCTCTTGTTTTTGATTCAATGTTTGCTCCATGTTCCAAAAGGACGGTCACCATGTTGGTTTTGCCCCACTTGGCAGCAACATGAAGAGGTGTGATGTTGTGTTTGGCGGCGTAGTTGACATCTGCTCCCTTTTGCAGTAGAAGATTGGCGATGGCTTGGTTGCCGTAGTGAGAGGCAATGTGCAAAGGAGTGAAGCCCGATTTAGAGGTGACATCGGGATTGTGTTCATTCTCTAGGAGAAGTTTAGCGGCTTTGACGTCGTCTTTCTTTGCCGCGATGTGAAGGGCCGGTAATCGCACCTTKAAAAAAYMTWAKAAAATTTCACAAATTAGTAAATAYATCATTACTTTGCCCCTGGTGTCGTTCTCCAGTAGCACTGTGACGACTTTATCGTGCCCTTGCTGCATGGCGACGGCCAATGGAGTGAAACCATCCTCTGTGGAGAGACTCTGGTTTGCTCCATTAGCCAAAAGGTACTTGACGACATTGTCGTGATTTTCTTGGGCCGCCATGTATAATGGTGTAAAGCCGTTTTGGCTTTGTACGTTGACGGAAGCGCCATGGCTGACTAGAAGCTTGACAACTTCCTCTTGGCCGGCTAGAGAAGCTATGTGGAGGGCTGTGTTGCCTTTTTTMGTAGCTGCATCAATGACGGCGCCCCTTTTTAGGAGCTCTTTGACTATTTCTACATGACCATCTTTAGAGGCTAAATGAAGGGCGTTCAGGCCATTCTAGATACAAATAAAATGATTAAATGACAAAAAATTAAGGAAAAAAGACTTACAGCGTTGCTGGTGTTGATATCGATATTTGATTCTAAGTGTTCTAAGACTTTTACAAGCTGACCATTGCGCGCAGCGCGTAGAAAAGACGTATTTCCATCAGACTGAAACCAAAACATACTCATTTTTCAACAATTCAACAAATCAAAAAATGTATTAGAAAATGCGCTTTTTTGCATAACTCATAATTTTGCAAATTTTGTACTATTCAAGAACGTAAAAAAGAAGCACCTATAAATTTAAAGGTTTGTATCATTTCTTTCATGTCTACGAATCTCTGAATCATTTAGTGCTGCTGAAAGTCGACAGATTGTTTATAAATGCAAGCCAGATGCT